TGTGGTCATATGACCAAGCTCAGGCCGATGGAACACAAGTGAAAATAAAACACCCCAAATCTAGAACATTTCTTTCAAAGAAAGGGTCTTGCCTTTGCCTTTCCCCCTTGCCCTTAGCTAGAAGGTGGACGTGGCAATGAGCCACTGGGACGTGGCAAACAACACGAGGAATGGCAAAGCACCTGGATACAAGAAGCCCAAATCCCTCGCAAAATGGGATCACCGTGTCAATCCACTCCCTCCACCTGGACTTACAAGAGACAGAAATGAACTGCAGTCTGGTTTCAACCAATGTTTCTTTGGGATTCTGTGTAACTTAAAATATGTAATCAATTCTGCAATTATTTGGAGCCTGAAAAGACCTACATCATCATTTCAGGAAGGATGGAACCAAACGCTTGGTCACTTTCGGACTTCACAGTTAACAAATCTTTATTAAGTACTTTTGGGATGCAGCAACAAACAAAAATAAAAATAAAAATCCTCTCCTACTAGAGCTTACATTTAGGATTATTTAATCTTTATAGAGACACTGGTCAGGGAAATGTTGTATTTGCATTTTAGAGCCGAGGAGATTAAGGCTGAGGGATTTTCAGTCAATTTTTCTGGGTCACGTAGCTGGTGAACAGTACTTTCAGGATTCAGATTTACCTCATGCCAAAGCCATCCCCTGCCACTAAACCCTGATTCCAGCTTGTGCTCAGTGGAACCTCTAGGGGCCCCAGGGGTCTGTCAGGGATGTCATGGATGGAGGGTTGTGACTATGAGGGATGAAGAGGCAGTTTTCCTATGAGCTCGAGAAATGCCTGAGATGATAGCAGAGAGAAATCAAAGGAGATCTCAAGGTCAGGGGTGAACCAGGGCTTAGGATGAAGGAACAGTGAAGGAGGTCAGGACGCAGGCCAGGACACAGCAGGTTCCCAAAGATCGACGGTGCCGGGGACCAGAGGCCCCAGACACTTGTACTCTGGGCACTCTGGGGGGCCCTCAGGCTAAACTTTCTCCCTGGGAATGGTGGAGGGGTGTCTTAATATGCAAATCAAGCTATAGCCAAATAACACATATTAAAAACATATCTGAGTTTGTGTTTGGAGATTCCTCTCACATACATGCAGGTGCACACACACATCACAGAAAAATAACTCGTAATGGTAACGGCACAGTGACAACTGGGCTGTCCCAGAGTGACACAATTCTCGGGGATTTTTTTCAAATGTCTTTCTCTACATTTTGGGGGTTTTTACATGGTTCTCAATGAGGATGTCATAAATGGGGGAAAAAGAGTCACAAGAGTCAATAAATGTTTAAAAAAGAAGACTAATCAGGGATATTTTTCAATGTCTTGTTTTGTATATTCTGAGCTTTCACAAGTTCCACAGTATTTCTTAAATGGAAGAAAATATGATAAAAAGAAACATTTTTTATTTGTTTATTTTTAGTGTTTTTTCCTTAAGAGGCAAAAAGAGGTTTCTGCAACTAGATTGCTTAAGTAATCAAATAAATCCCGTTACCAGGAATGATCGATCCTTGGTCATTTCCAGTCCAAGGACAGAACCCCGCCCATGTTTCACAAGCAAGGGGAGGAGATCCTCGCAGGCACAAAGGAGCAGCAGCACCGTGAAAACCCAGCATTCCGGGCAGGTGGCGGCCTCGGCTCCACGCACCACATCCAGCTCTCCGAGCCAGGTAACCCGTGACATTCCCACACTGGAAGCAAAGGACTCTTTCCCAGGGTGGCTCTAGGCCCCGGGCTGGGGTCTGGGGAACATGGGGCAGGAGGGAGGCGGGAGGACCTGTGTTCGAAGCTGGGACACTTCTGAGCCCTCTGAAGACCTCTCCCTGGGTCTGTTTTCATTCCTGCAAAGGAAGGGACATTCCACCAGGGCTTGCAGAGTCATTTCCGCCTTTGACTCTTGGGGATTCTGATTCGAGCCAGCTGTGTACCCCCACACAGCTGTGTACCCCCCTTCAGGATCAGGACT